CCCCCCCCCCCCCCCCCGGCATGTGACTCTCTAAAGATGGTTAACAGAGGCCAACTATAGACGCTGGATTCAAATGATCCCAACAGTTTCCAATGCCTATGTGGGAGTTGGTCCTGTCTTATAGCCAATCTCACAGACATCTCAGTCGGTTCTTTCATGATTTATGAGCCAGACATTTGGAGGGAGAGTAAACCAGCTTGTGGAACCAGCCAATACATTCACTGCTATTTATTGAACTGGAAAACCAACTAGAACTCTCCTCACCTAATGACCTCTAATGCCTTTAATCCATTCTCAAGCCTCAAAAATCATAAATTCAATCAATCAACATGACAGTCCAAGGGAAAGTTATGGAGTTTTGGTGGTGGTGGGTCTTTTGTTGCTTTTGTTTTTCTGTTAAGAAAGATGCAGAAAGGCTGTCTTTTGACCTCAGCAGACCCCCACAGTAAATGGTCATGGTCCCTCGGGAGCACACCTGTCTAATCAGCTACCGAAATTCAAAAAATCTTTCTGTTGTCAGGCTTTTGCTCCACATGTTCAGTGTGTCCTTCTCTGTGCACAGTTCCGGCTGCACACAGCTCAGGGAGTAGCCCCTCCAGCCAAATAAGTCGCTGGACCCTGGCTAGACTGGGACCTGTCGTGCTCCTCTCCAACCCGTGACAGCTGAGTTCTGTCAGGAGGACAATAGATTGCAGCTGCCAGTTCTGTGTAATCGTGCATCCGCAGCTCGTCAGCAGCGGAGACCCCGTGTTCACTGCAGCCGAGGAGCTCGGAACCCCTGGCTGTCACCAGCTGCCGTGCAGACACTTAGTTTCCCAGCCACGGCATCCCCTAAGGAGTAGGGAGGCCAAGGCGTTTATCCTCTCAGTGTATTCAGACGTACATCCCATGTCCATGAAAATTCATGTGTCTCCTTTTTTGTGAAATGTAACCTCCAGGCCAAATTTAGTCCCTGACTGTGCATGCAAGAGTCTGGGTCCACTCAATGAGGACGGACCCACATGCTCCCCAGAGGCTGAACCGAATCCTTCAACACAGCTGAAGGATGCAAGAAGAATATTCACCAGCACAATCTCCAAATGATATGCCCACGAACACATAACTGATTCTGCTTTCTGTGTGGACTCCTATGGGTTGGCATTTGAAATGAATGTGCATTTTATTAATAAGGAACAGCTCTGCAAATGTAAAGAGCAGTATGCTATGCAAATTGCCTTGGTGAACTTTCTGCTTTTTGCAAAGGATGTTGTTGGAACTGGGAGGACCATGAAAGCGCTGCTCAGCAGCATCGAGAAATACAAGCCCAACATGGTGAAGGTAGCCAGGTGAGTCAGACACAGCACAACTCAGTGCTCTGTCCTCCCAAACAAGACCAAGAGGCGTCCTCTCCCAGAACACTGTCCCGAGCCATTGGCCCTGAACCTGGGATGCTGGGCTTTGACCTCCCTGACAAAACTCATCTGATTGCCAGCCTGAGGGAGACAGGGACGAGAGAGCAAGGCCTTCAGCAGCAGCCTTGCTCCACATGCTACCAGGAGCAGCCAGGCCAGCCCTCAGCAGTTGCTCGGCATGTTCCTTCATCCAGCCAGCGATGCCACACTGCAGCTGCACAGGCAGGAGTTAAATCAGGCCACAGTGGCTCGTCACAGGCCTGGGGGTGGGGGTGGGGAAGGGGAGTGCACAACTTAACAATGTTTAATTCTCTTTGCAATTCACATCCTAATTTATTGGAGTAGTTAAAGTCTTTTTTTTTTTTTTTTTTAATGGCAGTTTGTTGGTAAAGAGAACAGCCAGAAGTGACAGCTTTAGACCTGACTGTAAGTGTTTCAGGGTTTGGGATGGTTTTCTGGTGCTGGTGGCGTTTCAGATGATGCTAATAGTCCTACAAACTCTTTGCGTTCACCACCTCGTGGTGGAGGTTCGGGCTCCTCAAGGGTGCACATCTCATAATTGCATCTCTCACAACAACCCCATTCTATGTATTGGATTTATTGGTTGATTGATTGATTGATTGTATTTTAAAGAACTTCACTGGTATGTAATTCAGTCCAGGCTACTATCAGCTTAGCTACGTAGCCCAGGCTGGCCTCAGGCATCTACCCTTCTGTTACAGCTTCCTGAGTACTGGGATTACAGGTCTTCCCCAGGATACCCTGGTGCATTGGATACTTCTACTGTTACTTTTGTTGTTGTTTTATTTTGTTTTTCGATACAGTTTCTCTGTACAGCTTTGGAGCCTGTCCTGGATCGCTCTCTCTGTAGAGCTGGCTGGCCTGGAACTCACAGAGATACACCTGCCTCTGCCGTCCAAGTGCTAGGGTTAAAGGCGTGAACCTCCATGCCCAGCTCTACTGTTATATTGTATGCAGTTGACCAGTTTTAGGGTGGAAATGGCCTTACTCCCCTAAGACCAATTCAGATATTCAGGGTCTCTGATTGGCAGCTATTTGCACCAATCAAAGAGACACTGCAAAGCTTTAGAAGGATTATCCTGCCCCCTTCCAGACCCTGCACATTAATGAGACATCTCCCTGCTACCGCCAATAAAAATTCAGGAGCACAGAGCAAGAGCAAGCAGAGCTCTCAGTATGCCATGTTCTTACATGACCACAGACATGTGCTCTGGGGGACTTTCCTTGTCCAGAGTGTCTTGCTGTCCTCTTCACAATAAGATTGGCTCTGTTCCCAGGAGGGACAGACAAGCCACTGAATTATTTTTTATTCTAAGCAAGAGATTTTTTTTTTTTTTTACTTACTTAAGGCAGACTTCAGCTAAAATTCTCTAACTTGCGTTTGCTCTAAAGCTCCTAGGATAATTTGGTTCCAATTCTCATCAGCAAGCTAAAAAAAACATTAGACTAAACATAGTATGGAGAGGTCATGAGCCAGGGTCTCTTCGTTCTAAACACAGGTGTCCTCTGCTGGGTTCCTAACTGCACACCAGGTCATCTCTAGGCAGATAGCTCGAGCCCATGGCCTGTTCCTCTCGGCTGCTGGCCTTGGGAGTGGGTCTGTATGTCACTATCATTATATGCAGTTACTAAGCAGAAGTTTTGTGAGAAGATTTTCAATCAACATTGAAAACATAGGGCTGGAGAGATGGACCAGCGGTTAACAACAGAGTGCCCTTGCAGAGGATCCAAGTTCACCTCCTGCATCTGTATGAGGCAACTCACAGCCACATGTCACTCCATTTCCATGGGGATTGGATTTGTCTGGGCTCCACAGCCACCTACGCACACATACATACATACACACACGCACCACAGAATTAAAAATAAAGCCTTAAAAACAAGCAAAACAAAGCAAGCAAATCCACTTAAGGACAGGCATGATGGCATGTGCCCATAATCTTAGCACTCAGATTATTAGACTGCTAAAGGATTGCAAGTTCAAGGCCATCCTGGGCTTCATAGTGAGACCTCGTATCAAGAAGACACAACAAAACAAAGCCAAATTCAATTAGTTATTAATCTCTTGTGTCATTTTATAAGAACAAAATAAAATAAGAGCAACTAAGACTGGGGATGTGACTCAGTGATAGAACACTTGTCAAGAAGTATCCTAGGTGCCCAGCAGCACACACACACAGGCACACACATGCAGATGCACACACAGAGATATTCACATACACACAGATGAGAAAGACACAGACACCCAGAGACACTTTTTCCTTTTTTAAAACCTTTTTATTGATTTTATTGACCTATACATTTTTCTCTGCTCCCCTCCCTTCCTCTCCCCTCCTCTACCCTCTCTCATGAGCCCCATACTCCCAATTTACTCAGGAGATCTTGTCTTTTCTACTTCCCATGTAGATTAGGTCAATGTATGTCTCTCTTAGGGTCCTCTTTGTTATCCAGGTTCTTTGGGATTGTAGACTGTAGGCTGGTTTTTGTTTCCTTTAGTCAAAAAGTCACTTATGAGTGAGTACATACTATATTTATCTTTCTGGGTCAAGGTTACCTCACTCAGTATGATGTTTTCTAGATCCATCCATTTGTCTGCAAATTTCAAGATGTCATTATTTTTTTCTGCTGTGTAATACTCCATTGCATAAATGTACCTCATGTTCCTTATCCATTCTTCAGTTGAGGGGCATTTAGGTTGTTTCCAGGTTCTGGCGATGACAAACAATGCTGCTATGAACATAGTTGATCATATGGCTTTGTGGCACAATTGAGAATCCTTTGGGTATATGCCCACAAGTGGGGCTGTCAGAAATCAGAGGGCCCATTGCTCACTGGCAAGTGCAGCTTCTGCAGGGTTTGTGAATGCCGTGCTTTGAGGCAGACTGTCTGGGCTTCTTACTGGCCCTCTTCGTATGGTTACATGACCCTGGCAAGCCATTTAATCTTGTTGTGTTCCATTTTTTTGTCTTTTAAATGGGCATATCAATAGCAACTGTTCTGGAGACTAAATTAACTTACCTTGTATGCTGTAAGAACCTGGCCTGGCACATCATAGCTTCTCACAGTGTTAGTTGCTATTGCTTAAGAGTGTGTGTGTGTCATACGGACACCTGATTTTTGACAAAGAAGCAAAAAATGTAAAACGGAAAAAGAAAGCATATTCAACAAATGGTGCTGGAATAGCTGTGTATAAACAAGGAGAAAAATGAAAATGGATCCATATTTCCTATTCCATAACTTCACAATATTCGGCCTTCTACACGGCTTTGGTCTTCCGTTTTCACAGTCTGATTTGTCACACTTTTGTAGGGACTCCATTGCTCACTGGAAAGTCTATAATTGTTCAAGTAGGGTTTCCTGGAATCTAATTCTGTGTGTTAGCTAGCTCAGAATCTGTTTCCCCTTTCTAAAGTGCCGAGACAGCATTTTTGAGCGTCTTTGACTCGTTGTTATATGTTCAAATGCTAATGTCTTTCCTTCTGTCCTTGCTTCTCCTCTTTAAATTTGTTTCTCTTTGTTCAGTCGGGATCTGTCTGGGAACCCCGGGCTGGCATCTAACTCAAAAGCCTCCTGGCTCAGCTTCCCAAGTACTGAGATTACAGAAATACACCACTGTCCACAGTTCTTCTTGGGTTATTTTTCCTAGAAACAGCAAGTTCAAGGAATCAAAAAGGCCATCTACTTAGTGACCCCATAATGCAGGCCCCTAGAAAACTGATCCTTCTAGGACTGTCTGTAAGCTGAAAACATTAGGTCATAGATATCAAAATGATGGGCTGTGGTGGCACATGCCCTTAATCCCAGCGTTTGGGAGGCAGAGACAGGCCAGCATGAGATGGAGGTCAGCCTGGTCTACAGAGGGAGTTCCAAGACATCCAAGGTCTACAAAGAGAAACAGTGTCTCCAGAGAAAACAGCAACAGCAACAAAACAAATAAAAACATGAAAACCCAGAATGGTCGTGACCATGAAGATCACTATCTGTGCTCCCAGTCCACTGGCCGTCCCAAAGGCAGTGTCATGTAGCTAGGCATGCGTGCCCCTCTTCGATCGTATTATAATAAATGAATTTACAAGATTCCAACATACTGAAGCAAATTTGAAAACCACTGGCCCCCACACATTATCCTGCCTGATGATCTCTGGGAGAAAACTGCTGTCTGTTTCTTCCTTAAAAAAAAAATTGTTTAACTTTATTTTATGTGCATCGGTGTGAAGGTCAGATCCCCTGGAACTGGAGTTACAGACAGTTGTGAGCTGCCGTGTGGGTGCTGGGAACTGAACCGGATTCCTCTGGAAGAGCAGCCAGTGCTCTTAACGACCAACCGAGCCATCTCTCCAGTCCCCTGTTGTTTGTTCCTTAATAAACATCATTTTCTCAACTGTCTTCTTTTGTTGAACCTGAGTACCTTGCACCCATTTGCACCCGTTTCCTCTCGGTCCACGCTCATCAGAGAGAAAGAGCTAAGCAGGATTCCCTGCATTGTCACTCGGCACAGAAATGACCCTCAGCATCCTCTCCTTAGAGTTCACAAGCTCCTTTCCTTTCGTTTTGTCTCCCAGGTTTTGTTTTCCAGTCCGTGAACATAGTGGGAGAATGGCTCCCCAGTTGTTGCAGCCGGCACCTGGTTACATATGGCAGTGGCATGAGGCTTTCTGTTTCAATGGGCCTTTGTGCTTTTGAGACCATCTCCTTAGACATTATGACATTTCCATACCGCTTGTTGTGAATAAAGTCACATGGCTACCATACACACACTTCTCATCATCTGCTGGTCCTCCTGAACTCTCTCTACTCTGTACACTGCAGGCCCATTCCTCACACATGCTTGCTTGTTTGCCTTGTGTCCCTAAGCCCCCAAGCCATCCTTCTGGGTTGGGCATTCACTGGATTGTCTTGCACAACACTTCTCACTTCTGTTTACCTTTTAAGTGCCAGAGCAGCATACAGCAATAATATGTTCTCAACTTCCTTCCTTGTCCTTTGCGACTAAGATGCTGGATTTGAGATCCCAGATGTCTTTGTGGTGGGCTATGCCTTAGACTACAATGAATACTTCCGAGACCTGAATGTAAGTATTGCATACAAAACCCAAATTCTCTATACCTAAGACGTTAATACTAGCAGCAGTTTAACAGATTACTAAAAACAGTAGCAAAATGTGGCTGTACTTTGTGATGGGAACACTTGGGGAGAAACAGTTAATTCTTCCAATCCTTCCAGTACCCCACAAAGTGGACTATCAGGATGGTGGAAACAAGTCACACTTCTCTGTTTTCTGTGCTGAGAAAAGGGAAGCAGAACAATGGCCCTATACTGGTTTTTGTTTTTTGTTTATTTATTTTATTTTATTTTGTTTTGCTATAATCATCAAGGCATCTAGCACATTCTATGTGAACACGTTTGTTGGGAATATCATCAAGGCATCTAACACATTCTATGTGAACTTTTAAGCTGAAAATAGAATTCTGATGCCTTTTTACCCTCTATGGTTTCAGCACATATGCGTGATCAACGAACACGGTAAAGAAAAATACCGAATATGATGAAGCAAAACTCCTCAGCGTCTCTTTTCCAGATAATATGATTCTTCTACTCAGGAAGCCAGAGTGTAAAGTCTGTCTCCGTGGCCATCTTCACTCAGTAGGATAGAAAAGACTTTTTAAAAATGAGTTTTTCTTTTCGGATATTAAAATGTCAATACCAACGGTTCTTCGGGAAGAGAAGACTGTGCCTGCTTTTGACTCCTTCCAGTTTGAACATCTCAGATCCCAAATCCCACGCACCTTCATGCTCCTGAACATACCTGCTGCTTTAGTACAGTCACTGGTCACGGGCTCTTCCTGGGAAAACTCCCATCCGATTACTCAAATATTGTTCACTTAACTCCTCTAATGCTATGTGTCTTTATAACATTTTACAGTAATAAGAACCTGCAGCCCCCTTCGCTTTAGCCCTGAGCCTGTAGAGTAAGAATGCAGCTAAGTTCCCTCACTAAAACTGGAGCCAAAGGACAGCTTCCCGGGAGCGTCTGTTTGCCCGGCTGTGACAGGACGTTATTATCTGCTTTGACAAAGCCTTTCAGGAGTGCGGGTACAATGAACCTTAATGATGTTATGAAATGAACCTTCACTGTGTGCTCTTGTGCGCTTCCTGTATGTGATGACAGCATGTCATGTGTGCATGGATGTACTCGACTGTGTTTAATACTCTGCATTTTAATTAGAAAAAACACAATGGCAGCAAGGCCTGCCCCCCCCCCCCTGAGCTGAATCCTTTTATTCACGTGGGACATGAGCAAATGGTGGGATTGAGAGGCGGAGGGTGTTTTCAAAAATCAGCACTAAGCAAGTGTGGATTTTTCCTCTTATTTGCATGGAAGAATAAGACAGTTAAATGTTGCTTTAATCATGAACAGAGGTCGAATTATTTGACTAAATGTCCTTATATGACTCCCCACACAATCCAGGGTGCCAGAGGAAGCAAGCACACATACCGAAGTTTTTGTGCATAACACACACACACACACACACACACACACACACACACACAGACCTATTAGCACCATTATACGTGACACTTCCTAATTTTTAAGGATCTTAATTAAAAGTAAGCTCAAGAGTTCACAGTGCTAGATATATTGCCTCCTAAAAGGAGAAAATGCATAATGAAATAACTAGTCTTTGTTTGGTTCTGAACAATCTATGGCATATTGTTACATTGTAGAGCCCTTTAAACTAATAATAAAAAAGACATGGTCCCCAACTGCTTTCATATGCTTTCAGTCATTGAAATATGTGGGAGCCAGGAGCCTGGATGCATGGCTGTGTGCAGCTATCCCATGGGCAGCCTGGATTAAATCCAAAACATGCACTCAGATAAGCAAACGTCAAGCCAGGAGCCATCTGCCACTTTCCTGTTGTCCTCCCTAAACCTGCTTTGTGAGGACAAGGAATTCACGTGTGAAGGAAGATTTCCTGTATATCTATTCCCGTCTCAGCCAGAGAAGAAAACAGACCCTGCCCAGATTCCCCAAGGGGGAAGCCACAAAGGGAGTCACTTCTGGCTTTGTTCCGTAAGCACATTACTGATTAATAATCGTGTAGAACGAAATTCATAAGACTCACATTTTATATATACTTTACCATTACACCATATTTCTACCCAAAGGCCTAGAAAAACAGACATACACTTGGTTTGGAATAGAAATTTATCCATGAAGTAGGCATATTAGAAACGCTTTCCTAAAAATCTTGCATTTTAAGTAAGCATCATTATCATTTGTGACAATTGTGTTTATTCAGATTAGAAGACTGATCTGTCTCAAAATTGTGAAGGCTTGTATATTTAATCATCAAAAAGAAAAAAGCAGTAACTGCACAGAAGTTTAATCATTTCTGCTAGTTTTTCATATCAGACTATTTTGACACGGATATGGGAGAATGTCGTCTTGGGAAAAACATTTTTTTTTCCTGTTGCAAAACTCTGACTGGGGTTTATGCTCCTGAGTTTACTCACATCACTCCAAAAGCATCAAATCTGCTTAGCAACACATCCAGGTGTTTATTTAGCAGTGAGCACTTGTAGGGTCTACCTCAGTTCCCCTTCTGCTGTGAACCCTCACAAGAGTGACTTAAGGGAGGAAGGATTTTAGTTCCCTATTCCAGGCTGCAGTCCATCCTGGCAGGGAAGTCAGTCACACCCCCAGGAACTCGAAGGAACTGATCGCATCCACAATCAACAGACAGACAGAAGAAAGCAGGCAAGTGCTCAGCTCAGAGTTTTCATTTCAGACAGTCCAAGATCCCCTGGCCAGAAAATGACCCCACCCACAACTAAGATGGGTTGTCCCACATCAATTAATTTAATCAAGATAACGCCACACAGGCATGACCAGCTCCCGAGATGATTCTAGATTCTGTCAAGCTGACAGCACTAATTGCCACAGACATGGAACGGGACTGGGACTGCATCTCCATAGTGGGACCCTTTCCTGCCATGCTCAGCCCCAACACCACAAAAACAGAAAGGGGGGGGAGTGAGAAAATATATGTGCTACTCTATAATATTTGGACTGTTTAATCAATAAAGTTATTAATACTTTGGAGTTTTCTAAACAAATTAAAATGCCTAGTTATAAACTGGCTGGAATTTATTACACTTTCAGCTTCATACTCACGAGTAAGGAGTCGATAAACCGCTCTCTTGGTGTTCTTTGGCTATCTCCAATGGGTTGCCATATTTCTGGTATTCTGAAACAGTGAAAAGCAGCCTGTCGGAGTAGTCTGGATGCTCAGCCCCTGTGCTAGACACTTATGTCTTCCCAGTGAAAGAGCGGTCACTCATTCCCTCCCAGGTGTCAGGGAGCTACCCCTCCCTCTGGAATAGAAATACTGCATTCTAGAAAACCCTGAGCTCACTCTCCACCCAACTGTCTAATTTGGAAAATTTAGCACTTTGAGAATTTTTCTTAATTTGCTGGTCATGAAATTCCTTCAGATCCCAAGACAATAGGAGAGGATGAGTGGATAGGCAGATTCCAGGAGAGAAGGAGGAGATTGTGGAAGTGGTGACCATGCCCTCATGCAAAGGTGTGTAGGGATGAGAAAAGGGTGCTCTTGGGGGGAAGGGGCACTGCATGTCAGACTTTAGGGTTGCATCTGAACCCTGCGGAGAGAAGGCTTAGCCAAAACAGTGAAACTCTCCACTTTACACAGCACGAGGGCACCTGTAGTATGTCAACGCTTTGATACAAGGAGGGGCTAAGCAGCAATTACACTTTAGGACCTATGGGGTGTATAGTGCAGGGAGAAAGGGCGCTGTGAAAAGACAGTTCACACCAGTCACAATGGGCCACACTCCAGAGGCTTCATGCACTACAGACACCATGCCCAGAGGAGCACGGGGCAGGACCCTTGATGGAAATGGGAGAAAGCCTGGAGCAGACAGCAGTCTGTCTGCGCTGCCGAAGCAGCTGCTCGAACTCCATGCTCACCCAGCCAGGATCCTTGCTAATAGCTGTGGTGGCCCCAGAATGTGGTCACGTTTACCGAAAAGGTGTCTTTTTGTTACCTATTCAAAGTTAGGTTGGCTGTTTTGTTCTTGATGCATGCAGTTTCTAACTAGATGTAAACAGCTTTCTCCCCCAGAGCAGACTTTTCCTCAGAGTTGAAAGGTGAACATGAAGACTTGGAGGCACGAAAAGGGGAGGAGGGCAGAATCCTAATCTTCACAGGGGAAAATAAGCCTGAACACATATCACCGTGGCCTCATTTTTTTCGGGGAGGGGGGTCGGAGACAGGATTTCTCTGTGTATCCCTGACTGTTCTGAAACTCACTCGGCAAACCAGGCTGTCCTGGAAGGTTCAGTTGAGAAGCCGGGATAAGAAGAAACAATGACGATTTCAAAAGCTAGGGGATGGTGTTGTGATGTATGACAGTGGTGAGTAACTCCATCAAAGAAAAACAAACAACAAGAAAGGACAGGGGAGACACTTGTGCTTTGTTGTTTGCTACAGACAGTGACACAATCCAGAGAGGAGGAATCGCTTATTGCTTTCTGTGGTGGCTAATTTTATGTCAGCTTGACAGAAACTAGAGTTATCTGAAAGGTGAGACCCTCGATTAAGAAAATACCTCCGTAAGATCCAACTGGATGGCGTTTTATTAATTAATGGGAGAGGATCCAGCCCATAGTGGGTGGTGCCATCCCTGGACTGGTGGCCTTGGGTTCTATAAGAAAGCAGGATGAGCAAGACGTGAGGAACAAGCCAGTAGGCAGCACCCCTCCATGCCTCTGCATCAGCTCTTGCCTTCAGGTTTCTGCCCTGTTTGAGTTTCTGTCCTGACTTTTTTCAATGATGAACTAAAGGAGTAAGTGTAAGCCAAATAAACCCTTTCCTACTTAACTTGTTTTTGGTCATGGTGTTTTATCATAGCAGTAGAAACCCTTACTAGAGTACTTTGTAATAAAACATTACCAGACTAAGGAGCATAAACCAACAATTGGTATTTATTTGGTATTTTTTGCATCTGGAAGGGGTATGGTCTAGGTTCCTCTGCTTCATGAGGTCTGATGCTTCAGATAAAAGACCTAAATTTTGAGAGCTTCAACCAAGTGATACTAAACTGCCCAGTGGGGCAACAATTAGCTGCTCATGATTAAGTTAATGGTAAATAAAAGCAGCAATATACGACCCCATTCAAGCTAGCTACGTCACTATGGCTCAGTAAGCTGGGGTGGTGTGTGGTACCACAAAGGGCAGGGCAGACGAGGACAATTCCCTGCTCATAGAAAGTCACATAAACACCAAGGACTGAATGTCTAGCTGTCACTGCTGGCTCTCGGCTGGATTAGCTGAGAGTATCGCCCATGTGCCCTTCTGGAAGGCCCAGTCTTCCTCTAAACATGGTAGCTGAGTGATAAAGGTAAGGGGCATGGCTTGCGTTGGATTTTATATGGCAGGCTCACTTCTACCACATTTGTTATTTATTTATTTATTTATTTATTTATTTATTTATTTATTTATTATTTATTTTTAGTTTGGCATTACAAAGGAAGGTAGAAGACTGCCATAACCTGATAGAAGAATAGAAACATATTAAAAGATCGAGGGGCATGGGTATAAGTTGCTGTGACTACCTTCAAAAGTCAGCCCCCTCGGGAAAGTTATATGTTGTGGTGGTTTGAATAGGTTCTGTAGTAGTAGGCTGATTGTTTTTTCCCGGATGCCCGGCTAGCTTTGACCCAAAATAACCACACAGAAATTGTATTAATTAAAACACTGCTTGGTCCATTAGCTCTAGCTTCTTATTGGCAAACTCTTATATTAATTTAACCTATTTCTATTAATTTGTATATCGCTATGTGGCAGTGGCTTACCAGCAAAGATTCTAACCAGCATCTGTCTCAGGCAGAGGATCCATGGCATCTCTCTGACTCTGCTTTCTTCCTGTCAGAATTCACTTCCATCTTCTCCGCCTACTGGTGCGGGAGAATTATCTGTATTCTGTAAATCATGCTTTAAATAAATGCTGATTGGCCAGGCAGGAAGTATAGGTGGGTCAACCAGACAGAAAGTAGAGGCGGGGTGATGAGAACAGGATTATTCTGGGAAGCAGGAAGCTCCCTCCACCATTCCTGCCCAGACCACCAAAGAAGCAACATGTGTACTGCCAGCTAAAAAAGGTACCAAGCCATAAGGCTAAAATAGATCAGAATAATGGGTTAATATAAGTCATAATAACTAATAAGAAGCCTGAGCTAATGGGCCAATCAGTTTTATAACTTATGGAGACCTCTGTGTGATTTTCTTTGGGATTTGCCGGGATACCGGGCGGGACGGAAACCCCAACAAGCTAGCCGGCCTTCATGTTACAGCCGACCTAAATTCTGCCTTATCAACAGGCCAAGGCTGTTTCTTTATTCATCAATGAAAGCAACACATAGACAGAAGGACCTCCTATACCAAGATAACAACCCTCATAGATTCATGCCTTTGAATGCTTGGCACATATGGAGTGGGAGCATTAGGAGGTGTGACCTTGTTGGAGTAGGTGTGACCTTGTTGGAGTAGGTGTGAACTTGTTGCAGGAAGTGTGTCACTGTGGGGCAGGCTGTGAGGTCTCATATGCTCAAACGCAGCCTAATGTAACAAGGCCTCCTGCTGTCTGCTGATCAAGATGTAGAACTCTCAGCTCCTTCTCCACACCATGTCTGCCTGCATACCACCTTGCTTTCGCCATGAAGATAAAGAACTGGACCTCTGAAACTGTAAGGCAGCCCCAATTAAATGTTTTCCTTTACAAGAGTTGCTGTGGTCAGCAGCATGGTGTTGGCATACGCCTTTAATTCCCTTTAATTCAAGCACTTAGGAGGCAGAGGCAGGCAGATCTTTGAGAGTTTGAGATCAACCTGGTCTGCCTTCCGGGGGCGGGGGGGGAGGGGAATTGGGGGGTGGGGAATGAGTTGCCATGGTCATAGTGTCTTTTTGCAGCAAAAGAAACCCTAAGACAAATGTCCTGTGCTTTTCCTATTAAGATTAGTAAAGAAGTTGATTATTCAGTGGTTATAAAGTGTGGATAAAACATATCTACTTATGCATGTTCTGTGTGTGTGTGTGTGTATGTGTGTGTGTGTGTGTGTGTGTGTGCATGTATGTATGGGTGATTATCTTAGGGTCACTATTGCTGTGATGAAACACCATGACCAAATATGTAAATATGAGATTTGCATAAAATAATTGGAAAAAAATCAAAGTCAAAATTCAAGGACCTTCTACTTCAGTAAGATTTCTAGGAGTGCAGGGCATGCAGAGATACTCCTTCTGAGTTCTTTCACTTGCCCGTCCCTCCACCAGGGGAAGTACAGTGGCTACTGGGCCTCTTTACATCCGTGATAGCTATTCCTCCTCTGGGGGTGTTACTCCAGCCCATGTACCAGACGACTCGGAAAGCTACTAGTTTTAAGTGGGGCCTGGAATAGGAGGTTCTATAACAGGTCCAGGTTGCTGTGCAGGCTGCTCTACTACATGGTCCATACAATCCAACAGACCCGATGGTACTTGAAGTATCCACGGTAACTAGAGATGCAGTTTCGAACCTTTGGCAGGGCCCTCTAGGTGAGGAGGAGGCCTTTGGGATTTGGGAGCCAGGTTCTTCCCTTAAAAGGTAGCCTTCATGGAAGCTAAACATTTAACAATTCACCACTCAGTTACAGTGCAACCCGAACTGCCTGCCCATCACGAGCTGGGTGTTATCTAACTCACAGAAGTTAGACGGCTGGATACGCCAGCAACAGCCCGTTACTACATGGAAGTGGTAAAAATGGCCGGGCCTATAATCTTATTCCTGGAAACAGTGACCCCCAAATCACCTTAGACAACAGGCTACTGAGTACTAATCATCAGTTTTACAGCGGGAGCTCCTCGGTGCTTCTAATCTAATATGAAGGGATGGTTGCAAGGAAAAACAAAAACAAATAAACAAAACCCAAAACTGTCTTTATTTTAACAAGAGCAAGTAGAGTGTGCCATGTGAACAATATTCATAGCCTAGAAAATAGTT